ATAGATAAAACTGTTCAGTTAGTTTTAGGGATTACTTGTTAGCAGAACTGCTGGTACAAGGTTGACAACTCGTGTTCACTGTGAATATACATGATTTTAACACCTCTTCTATGCCAATTCCCAAGCACTGTGTGCCAGAATCAAAAGACAAATCAGACTTATTTGTGCCGCCATGGCTATAAACATCAAATAAAGCAAATCTATTTAATGGGAAATTTAATAACCAGAGAAGAGAGTACTGTGATTAGCTTGTGTGTCTAACATGCTCCTGACTGGGTTCAATCATTAGCAACATTTGGCCTCTTAAGCATCAACAGTTGTAGTTTTGGAGACCCCCTGAGCATTTCCAGCTGCTCTGGTGGTCTGTTTCATCACATGGCATGAAAAGCATTACATCCCCAGGCCCTAACATTGAATTGTTGTCCTGGTTTACTGAGATTTTCCAGAAAGATTTCCAGAGTACCATTTGGTCGACCGCCCCTCCCCCACCCCCCATAATAAAATAAAATGTAATTTAAAGCGGAAACTGGTTTTGTCTTTGAAGCTACAGTAGTGAGGAAACAGGGGCAGAAATAAAGGTTAGTAGACAGGAACTCTAAAGCAGAAAAAAATAAAATAAGAACCTCTCTAGAAGTATATATAACAGGCTAAATGTCCTACATGGCTGGAACATTGAATGCTGATGTTATCAAACCATAGGAATGTAAAACCTACGAGGGATGGGAGTAGTGATGTGGTTGAGATTAAATCAGGCATTGCCAAACTACAACACCCAAAAGGAGAGAGAGAACAAAAGGGGGATGCCCTGCCACAGAGGCAGGGTGGGATGGGGAGGATGGGGGGTGGGAGGGATATTGGGACTCGTGGTGGTGGAAAATGGGCACTGGTGGAGGGATGGGTATGTGATCATTGTATAACTGAAACCAAGCACAAAAATTTGTAAGTCTACAACTGTACCTCATGGTGTTTAACTAATAAAAATTAAAAAATAAAAAAATAAATAAAAGTGAAATCTGTAAAAAAAAAATAAATCAGGCATTGCTAAGGATGTTTTCATTTAGAAGCTGTGAAGTGGGGTCCTGATATGCCATTGTAAGTGGAAAGGGGAGTGCCTAGGGCCCAGTAAGAATGACTCCAAGTAAGTCTTAGAGACAGGACTCAAGTTCAGGTTAACACCAAAGGGGGGCCTTTGCACTCTGTACCCCAAGCTCAGTGACTCTCCACTTTGCAAAGGGAGCTTGTTTTAGTCATGTATGATGTTGAGTACCAACTATCTGCTTATCCTCCAACTTGCAGTGTTTCTTATCTTTAGCAATTGAAGTTATTTTCAACCTGAAGTCTCATAATAGCTGCTAAAGAATGAGGAACTAGACAAGATTGCCCTGCCAGCTGTCCCATCCTGTTAATGGACATGGATTGCTTCCTTTCCTGAAGTACTGTTTGCTTATTATCTTATCACTTATGTTGTTGGCCTTTCCTTCTTTTAGAAGTGGAGAGTTTATGTTTAAAAATTACTTCAATTTCCCACAGCACATGATGTTTGCCCCAACCACCATTATCACTGTTCCCCTATATGACCCAAAATACTATTCTCTCCCCGATCTTCTCCCACCTACCTACTCCCCTAACTCACATACTCTGTTCTCAGAAGAACCCTCATAGATCTCTTTTAAATAATGAGGCCATTCATGCCACTCCTTGCTCAACATCCTAAATAACACCCCAGTTTATTTCAGCCATGGTGCCCAGTGATGCCAGATCCCTGGTTTTTAAAGATAGGCAGAAATCTGAATTTTTATAACCACATTTGTTTTTGGTTTTTGACCACACCCAGTGATGCTCAGGAGTTACTTTTGGTGGTGCTCAGGGAACCATATAGGATGCCAAGGACTGAACTCAGTCCTGTGTATGCAAGCAAATGCAAATACTCACTGCACTATTGTTCTTGCCTCATATTAAAATGTTGTTAACTACCTCAACAGTTTTAAATGACAGTAAAAACCAATTAAACATCTTTTACACCAAATATTGCCTTTGTTGCTTATAATATCTGCTTGTTTGAAGGTTTGTGTGGCACTAATTCTGAGGAAGCCTGAGAGTTTTATTTGGATAAGTGGGATCTCACAGGCTTGGCAGAATTTTGGTAAGCTATGGGAAGAGGAGAAGGTAGGATTATTTATGCAACTTCCTGGATTTGGGCAAAGGTGTGGAGGTAGGGACAAGTGAAGCAATGAGGGTGGTGCAGAAGACAGTGATGAAAGAGGTATATTCCTTATCATCCCTGACTGTAGTCTCTCCTGGCCTAACCTAACCATCTTTTCTAGGTTACATTTGTTTGACTCAACTATTTAAACAGATCCAAATGTGTGATACAAGATAGAAATTTTGTCAAGCTAATTGTCTCAGTGTCAAAAAAACTAGATAGAGTACTTTTTCTTGCTTTTCCATGGCTCATCCTCATGACCCATGGTGACTCACCTGTCTTTCTTCCAGCTGGCAGAAAGACAAGGGCTGGTCGGAGAGGTCATGTCCCTTTATGTCAAAGGCAGAATCTAGATGTTGATCACCACATTTACCTTCACACCCAAGTAGCCAGAACTTGGTAACTTGACTACGTCTAACTCTAAGAAGTCCTGGGAAATGTAGGTTTTATCTGGGTGAGTGGCTCTATCAGATAAAATTGATATTTGTAATGTAGAGAAACTAATTTGAAGAGCTATGACACCTTTATATTCATTGACGGATCATTTATAATAATTAAGGATAGGAAACAACTTAAGTGTGCATATTCAGATGGCTGGATAAAGAAGATAAATTATTTAAACACATGGACTACTGTTCAGCTATTTTAAAAAAGATGAAATTCTGGTATTTGTAACACATGGATGGACCTGGAGCATATCTGATAGGTGAAATAAATAAGATATAGAAAGACAAACACTGTATGATCCCATTCATATGTGGTATATAAATAAACCAAATAAATGTGTGAACTAAATGAAACAAAAGTTAAATGCTTAAATTGTAAGGCAAATTAGTGGTTACCAGAAGGGAAAGGCAAATTGGGGCAAGTGGATAACTCAGGAAAAAGGAAAAAGGAATCAATTGTTTAGTTGTATGGTGGGCTATATTGTATTTTGTAATGTATGTTGTTTATACAGCTATTGGTTATTATAATAGCTGTATGCAGTAAGCCTGAAATCTATAAAATATTATAATATACTGTGACTTCAATTCAAAAAGGCTGTTGAAGATGATGGAGCAATCTATACATCTGGTCTGTGGGTGTCAGGGTCTGTGTGGGTCGGGTGCCATTTATTCGACTCTCAGTTTTTTCATTATTTTAGCAAGCCCAGTAGCACAAGTAGAAAGTGATACTAGATATTGCTTTTTTCTTCTTTTAGTATTTTTTCTACATGTATTTATATTCTTTGTGATTGAATACTATGATTAGAGTAACAGTGAGTTTTTGTTTTACTTTGTTTTCATAATTGATCAAGAGCAGTGTTTTTTCAAACTTTTTGATTTAAAGTCCTTGGGCACTCTTAAAAATTACAAAAGGTACCAAAGGCTCCCCAAATCTTTTTTATATGAATTATAGTAATTTGTACTTAATACATTAAAAATGAAAGCATTTATGAGAATTTGGAATTGAGTATTCAATCAACTTGTAGTCTTTGGATCTATCATACATAGACATATACAGTTGAATGTAATTTTGGTAGAGACAACACAACATAATGCTAGTAATATTATGGAGATATTGACCTCCCAGGCCTTGCAGTTCTCTGGGACTCTATACACACTTCAACAGCTACTAATAAAAGAGCATAGCCTGTCTGTGCTGACTGTGGGATACTGAGAATACAACTGTTCGTGTGAGGAATTGGGATTAACAAAGAAAGGAATTAAGAGAGGACCAATGTCATGGAGTGGTTAATGTTTCAAAAAAAAAAACACCCAAAACTGTTGACCATAAATTTCTTAGATTTGAGGACAGTTGGTTTATATGTTTGAACTATAAAATTGCTTGTGGGAATTAATAATGATTGGTTGTATCTTTGGCAATTTAACAAATTCTGGTATCTTAATTCGCAGAAATAAACATTTCTTACATTTAGAAGCTCATTGCAAATTTGTTGGGTTTCTTAAACACCCACCAATGATTTTGGCTACCTGGTCCCAAAATCTGCCAATTTTTACTGAGTTTATCACACTCTCTCCTATGGGAGAGAACAGTGGTACACTTTTGCATGTTTAGGCAATTCCCACTGGTTGCAGGTTTTGTCCACATGCAAAAAAAAAAAAAGAAAATTAAAAAAATTAAAAAAAAACACAGAGAATTACTCAAACCCACTAATGCCAAGGGGCAGGAATCACAGAGGTCTCTTAGAATTTTGCCTTCTTGGCTCTAAGGCTTTTGTTTAATGCAGACTAACTCTAGGTTGAGAGTTCATGGCCTCAGGGGCTAGAGAAACAGAACAGCAGGTAAAGGATTCATCTTGCACATAGCCAACCCAGATTCAATCCTCTGCACTTGACCACATTGAGGAGTAATTTTTGAGAACAGAGGGAGGAGTAAGCTCTGAGAACAGCAGGGTGTGATCCAAAAACTAGAGAAAAAGACTTTTTCACTTCAGACTCCATACTGTCTCCATCAGGAGCTTGATTTTCTCTTTTAAGAAAGAAAACCCACTTTATAATGTAAATGAGAGATCCAAGTAAGAAAATACCCATGCGACTCATACTGAGTTCCAAGCAATTATTAATTTCCTTCACACCTGCACTTTAAAAAAATCTGCTCTTACAACCCAGGCAGCTTTAGAATACTTGTAGTTTTGTGTGTCCACAGGAAGAGTTTTCTCACAGTCACTAAAAACAGATTATGTAAACTAGTTCAATTTGTTCCTATTTTCCTGAGGCAGAAATAATGCTGGGGCTGCTGAGAGACTTCAATCCTCAAAAAGTAATCCAGGTTATGCTCTTTGTCTCTGAAACAGATGAAGTGATTGAGAAGAAGCAGTGAACTCCATCACTTCATAGCCAGGACAACATGGATCAGCCGTTAACTGTCAGTTCTCTGGTAGGTAGCACCAACCGATATTTGACATATGCTTGTAAAACCCCAAAAGAAGAACAGAAACATACCAACATCTGAAATGAGTCACATTGCTTAAAGAGGTTTAGCACTTGTCATTTCTTCATCCATCTGTGCGGTCCTCTCCTTTGAGGAAGTGACTAATAAAGTTCTCTTTTGCTGGAATTAAAAATAACTTTTTTCCACAAAAGTGTGAAATTTTGATTTTTCTGGCTAGATTCCAAGAGTGCTGAATGCTGGAGGGAGTTGACTTTGTGGCATGTACTTCATACCTTAGCTTCTTAACTTTGTATGACGGTGACCATTTTGGATTTTATGCTAGATGTTGCTTGAAGATTTTTGTGAGGATCCTTACCCCTTGCCTTTCTCCTTTTTTCCCCCTTAAGGTCCACCATGGAGTACACCTTTTCTAACCACATCATAGAAGGGAGTTACATCTTAGGAGGAAATAATAGGGATCTTGAGAATCCCTACTATTTGAGTTTATTCTGTCGGTGGCCCAGATCAATTCTGTGTGTGAATATTGACACACCAACATGTATATGGCTCTTTTGGCGCTTAGTGCCTTGTGGCAACAGTCACCACAGGTTAACATAGCGGCTAGCTATCACCTTACCATGTTACCGGAAACCCTCTTCTTTTAGTATTTTTTCTACATGTATTTATATTCTTTGTGATTGAGTACTATGATTAGAGTAACAGTAACTCACTTGCAAACCTGACTACTCCTGAGATCAACAGGAAAAAGAGGTTCAGTTTTTGCTCTAAACTAGGTTATGATCCTCTCTTCTTTCTACTTAAAATTTTTTTTTTCTTACAGAGGCTTAGTCCATCAGGAGTAAATTTGAGAGATAGAGAAGTTGAGACGTTTCCACTTTCTGATGTCATGTTGTAAATCCGCTGTTGGATAATAAAGGCTGCCCAGAGTTAGAGAGATAGCACAGGGGACTAAGGCATTTGCCTTGCACACAGTGGCTGATTCATGTTTCATTCCTGGTACCATACATGGTCCCCAGCACTGCCAGGAGTGATCTTTTACCAAAGATCCCGGAGTAAGCCCTGAACATCTCCAGGTGTGGCCCCCAAACCCAAAACAAATAAATAAAGACTACCTGTTTTCACTTCTACAGAGGAAAGAGATGTCTTTTGAGAAGGTCTTGAATGCTTTTCTGGAACATGAGTAGGAATAATTAAAATCCTACTTGTCAGGTCAATGTAGAAATGATCATATAAAGCATTTTCTGGAAAATTTGAAAAATCTGCAAGTTTTGTACTTTAATTCAAGAAGTTCATATACACATTGGACATTATAGATAACTGAAGACCTTAAGCTATTTCCTAGTTTATTGCTAGAATCTGTTTTACCCCTCTAAGAAGGATAAGGCTATCCAGTAAAAGAAACATAATTCTTATCTTTATTGTCATATAAAGGGTAATCTAAACATAACCTTGTCCACTTTTCTCTCTTCCCTTTTATTTGACGTATTTATCATCTGTCCAGCAGGCAGAATGTTATATCCTAGGGAGAGATAAGTGGAAGATGATTCCTTTCCCTCCAGGAGTTCAGGAGTTAAAAAATATTTTACACAAAGCATAATCTATTGTGGACTAAATTTTATAGTAATAAAATATAGGGAAATCTTTTGTTCCTTTAGGAGGCTACACATAGTCAGTTTTTGGGCTCAAAGTTCACTGGCTCCAATTCCAGCAGTTTCTCTGAAATGAGGAAGTCAAAGGATTAGAAGAATAACACAACACAGATAACAATAGAAGGAAGTGTGGCTAATTTAAGATGAAGGGTCTGAATGCTGCTACTGAATGTCATCTCTCTGATTTCAGAATTTTGGACCAAATGGGATTAGATTTAAGATGGTAGGTGAGAATCAAAAATTAACTGAATGTCTCTTAGGATAAAGGTACACCATAGTAGGGGTCTTGTAACTTAGACAAAACATGGAAACTACTTAGACCAAGAACATGGGAGACTGTCAAGCCTTCTTGTCCCTTCTTTAAACTGAGATGGCTTAACCCATCATTTCCTAGAGGGATAGAATGAAGATCTGAAGAGGGAGGAAATGTAGGCTGTGAGCACTACTTGGAGAGAAAGAAAGAGGAGGAGGCTTCCCTGTATTCCTCTGTGCCTGATCAGTAGAGTTACAGGAGCTGCAAATGGTCTGTGCTTCTTCTGATTTAATGGGATCTAAAGAAACAAGTTTACAGGGGTTACTCCTGGTGCTGCTCAGGGGACCATATGGGATGCTGGGATTAAAACCTGGGTTGGCCGTATGCAAGGCCAACGCCCTACCTGCTGTACTATTGCTCCAGCCCCACCTTCCTACTTTATATGTTAAGCTTTTAGAAGCTAGAATCATTGCAGGCCTGAACGTTCTGTCTATCATACTAACCAAAGTAGCCCGAATGCCCTCAGAAACCTGCATGTATTTTATTCACTGCCCCCTGCCCCTAATAGTTGCCCTTCAAGTAATTCATGGCTGGACTAGAGCTATGTCTCCCTTCATATGCTTTTAAAAATTTTCTGCAGACCTTAATCAAATGCTTCAACCACACTATATCAAATTTGAACCCTTTCCAAATTGGCAGAGAGATGCCTGGAAGCTCACATTTTGGGCTAACTTCATTATTGAACATCACAGGATAATAGACTGGGATAAAGCGGTACTTCTTAACTCTCAGTTTTTCTAGCCACTTCTGGGGATCTGGGTCTATTGATCTGAGAAGATATGAGGCATTTGCATTTGGGGGCATGTGGGCTAGGTTTCGGCCACACTTGGCTGTGCTCAAGGATCTCTCCCGGGAATGCTCAGGAACCATATGGGGTACCAGGGATTGTCAATTTTACTGAGGTTTCAGGCATGCAAGACCAGGGCTTCGGTTGCTGCTGCTGCTGGTTAAGGATCTTACTTGGAGCAGGAATCAGCAAACTATAATTAAAAGGCCAGAGACATCAGTTTCTTTTTGTAAATAAAAATTTTTTTTGATTCCAGCCAGGATCATTTGCTTATATATTATTTGTGGCTGCTTTGCACCACATAGTTGAAATTACCACTCTATTCTGGCTTACAAAATCTGAAAAATTTGCTATCTGGATTTTATTATTGTGGAAGCCAGGGAAAACCCACCAGTAGTTCAGTGAAAAGGCCCAAGGATGGGGTGCGGGTGAGCTCTGTGGGGCCTGCAGGATTGCTTGGGAACCTTGTGATGCCAGCCATTGAACCTCGCTTAGGTCATGTTAGGCACTACCTAACCTCTGTACTAACTCCTGGACCTACACTTTGACTTTTTGGAGAAAAAAAAAACTTGACTTGTTTTGTTTTTCTGAAGCATTAGATTTTTATTGAATAATTCTCATGAACATACATGTTTAGTGTTTTTCTAAACGTATACAGAGGTTTTGAAAATGACTAATGCTGTTTTATTAATAATACCTTTTTGTAATATTGATATTTTTCAGTCAGGGACTAATTAGTGTGTAATGGCTATTATGTGGAGGGCTAAGAGTCTTGATATTAAAAGAAACAAAGCAGAAAGTATCCATATACTTGAAAAGACTGCTCTAGGATTTGGTGGTGGGTTTTAGTCATTTAGTTAAGACGCAGGTTGGGAAGCTCTGAGAGCTACTTATTGACTAGATAGATTTTAGTAGGATTGAATCTGTTTAGTTACTTTAAATCCAAGCTATTCCATTGAGTCCCTTTGAGTGGAATGACTTGAGCTCTATCCTGGCAGAAATCCTTCTCTCTGCTTTGTGTAATGCAGGATGAAACTAGTGTAGAATATAGAGGTCAACGTTATTTTATTTACAGAGACCTGAATCATTTGCACACCTCAGAATGTGAAACTTAAAAGAAATGGTACTCCCTTAAAAATGTATGTTTATCTGGAAATGTATGTGTTTTTTGTGGTGCATGGATGGCAGGTGCAAGTAAAAGGTTTCATTTTATGAAGAAATAATTCTTCATTTTTTTTTATTGAATAACTTTTTTCATTAAATTACAATTTAAATTAACTTTATTCTTTGACCTTAGTTGCCCATATTTAAAAGAATCTATTATATTAATATGTGTATTTTTTTATATTTTTTTCTTTTTTATTAGTGAAACACCATGAGGTACAGTTGTAGATTTACAAATTTTTGTGCTTGGATCTCGGTCATACCACGATCAAATACCCATCCCTCCACCAGTGCCCATTTTCCACCACCAGGATAATATCCCTCCCCCCCCATCCTCCCATCCCCCCTCCCCCCCTGCCACTGTGGCAGGGCATTCCCCCCTGTTCTCTCTCTCCTCCTGGGCGCTGTGATCAGCCAAAGAGGCATTGATAACTCTTCATTTTTTATGAAAAGTTTATGTCACAAACTCTTTTACAAAGCTTTCCTTAGGTATTTGTACTACATATTCACCATAGATCATATATGCAGAAAGTCATTCAGATTCATTTCTGACTATAATCAGAAATTCAAATTTGGCTTCACAGAAAAAGTTGGCTGCTATGCCCGACCATACAGATGTTTCCCTCAGCCCTGAAGAACGAGTCCGCGCACTCAGTAAACTCGGCTGTAACATAACAATCAGTGAAGATATCACTCCCCGCCGCTACTTCAGATCTGGAGTAGAAATGGAGAGGATGGCGTCTGTGTATTTGGAAGAAGGAAACTTGGAAAATGCCTTTGTCCTTTATAATAAATTTATAACGTGAGTGTTTTATTTTGGATGCCTTTAATGTAAGAATGCTGGACAAATAATTACAGATAATTTTGGTGGAGCAGCATGAATACCAAGTAGTGTTTTATACTCAGGACAATTTTAAAGGAAAGAATAAAATATCCAGGTTTGTAAATTTCCATGTAATGTGCTCAGAGGCAACTTTTCAACCTTTCTGAGGCTCAGGGATAGGAAGAAGGTCAGGGATCAGTAAGCTGACAAGTTATTTGCAGGACTCCGTTTTAATTTTTTTTAATTTAAAAAATAATACCACAGTGAGTTATAATACTGTGTGATTTATAAACAAAATACTATGACTAATTATACACTATAACATAACAGTTATAAAAAGTGGCATTTTACAGTCAGCTCATTGTAGTTAATTAGGAAGAATTCATTTGTTTATCAAATATTTATTGAGCATTTACTATGAGCTGAACACTATTCCACATACTATGGACACAGCAATAGAAAAAATGCTGAATTTCCTGTCCTTATTGAAAATTACTTTCTTTGCCTAAATGTGGTATAACTGATTACCCTGCATCTTTTGACCCTCGTTCAAAAGGTTATGGTTGGTTATGAATGTCCAATCAAGCGTTTTTGAACTATGTTTGGAACTTCTGATTGATCAGTGACCCTTTGACTCTTTTCCAGTGATAAGAAGGAATTACATCAAGCTTTCCAAAACCTTTACATTTTTACTTGTGGCCAGAAGCATACTCACTAAAAGTGCTGCTCTGGTTGGAAGTGTGCACCCAGGACAGAAAGACACAGAAGTGACTGAAGCAATTGATTTCTATTTGTGAAGCAACTTGACATTAGCTCATGTGAATTAGCTTAGTTTGCTGAGATTAACTACTCTGTAATGCCAAAAATAACAGTTGTGTTATTAATTTCATATATTTAGATATGAAATATATAAACATATATTTTTTAAGTTCCCTATGGAGAAGCAGATGCCAGAATATAGGTTAAGTGGTAGGTCATTAGCCACATAGTTTTTTGAAAAGGAGGTTCATTCTTATGTTAGAAATAATCTTGAGCTTTTTTGTTATATAACACTGAGGACCTATTTTCTCTTTCTCTAGCTTGTTTGTGGAAAAGCTTCCCAACCATCGAGATTACCAGCAATGTGCAGTGCCCGAAAAGCAGGATATTATAAAGGTATTGAAGGGTTGGCTCTCCCTTGTGAAATCAAATGCTCTACAAGTATCCATTATTGATTCTCTGCCCTCTTTTCCTCCTCTGCCTCATTCTCTTGAGAATTTAAGCCTGAAATTTTTTTCCATTAGCTACAATGTTTTGATCTCTTCTTAATCATTATTACTAAGTCAGTGTGGGAGGTCTAATTGAAACTGGGGACAAACAAAACAAAGCAAAAGAAAAAAGAATATCAAGAATGTGTCAGTCACCTTATAGCATGTAGAAGGAAATTTTAAAATTTGAATCACCGTGAAGTAAACCCTTATGAAGCTGTTCACAATTAGATTTCAGTCATATAGTGTTCCAACACCCATCCCTCCACCAGTGTACATTTCCCAGCACCAATGTCCCCAGTTTCCCCCCAAATCTACCCCCAGCCCACCCCCCAGCCTGCCTATATGGCAGGCACTTTTCTCTCTCTTTCTCTCTCTCTCTCACCCCTTTTGGGCATTGTGGTTTGCAATACAGACACTAAAAGGATATCATGTCTATCCCTTTACTTACTTTCAATATGCAGTTCTTGTCCAGTGTGATCATTTCAAACTATTATTGTTATACTGATCCTTTATCTTACCTACCCTCTGCTCCCCCCCCCCGCCCACACACACACATTTGTGGTAGATTTCAACCATTGACCAGTCCTCCTAGTGCCTGTTTTCCCTGGAGTTGGATATTAGTCTTATACTATTAAAAATGAAGTCATGAAATTTGCCTATAAATGAATGGACATGCAGATTATAATGCTCAGTGAGATAAATCAGAAGAAGAAGGACACATATACAATGACTGCATGCATTTATGGCATATGAAAAAAGAAAAAAATTATTTTATGACTTCCCCCAGAGAATGATTATCTACTTTCCTCATACTCATTTATGATAGTCATTGTGGCTGATTTTGATTACTCATATAGTCTTGAACCAAAAACAATTTCAAAATCAATGTTGGTCATATGGTCACAGGGTTATATTTTAATCCTTTTATACTATAATACCTGTATGTATATATAACATTAATTAAAATGTTGAGGCAGTGACTTGAAATAGTCCTAAGAAAAAGGAAAGTGATTAAAGAGTTTTTGTTAATACTATTTGCTACCCTTATAGTTTGAGTACCTATCACTGAGAATATAATTTTTTAAATTACATTTAAAAGAATTTATCACTTATTTTTCTTAAATAATTTGGGTTGATTTTACATAAAAGATGATAAAATAATATATACAAAGTCAATAATGGCATAAAAATTTAAAAAACACCTCAAAGTTATTTTACTGTGTAATGGAAATAGCACTTCTTCTACCATTTATGTCAGACTAGGACCACTTTTGAGCAAATTGGATTTTGTCAAGTAATCATTTACCTTTTTTTCCTATATCCTATGTATTATGCCTATGTGCATCATGTCACTTCAATTCTCTTATTTATTCATCCTAAGAGAATTCTGTATGGATCCCAAACATCCTAGGTTGTGAGGTTGACTATTGTACTCTAATTCAGGGTTATCTTTTTTATTAAGAGAAATATTCTCTAAAAGCATATATATATTCTTTGGGCTGGAGCGATAGCACAGCGGTAGGACGTTTGCCTTGCGCACAGATGGCCTGGCCGAGCCGGGTTTGATTCCTCCATCCCTCTTGGAGAGCCCAGTAAGCTACCAAGAGTATCTCGCCCACACGGCAAAGCCTGGCAAGCTATCCATGACGTGTTCAATATGCCAAACACAGTAACAACAAGTCTCACAAAGGAGACGTTACTGGGCCTGCTCGAGCAAATCAATGAACAACGGGAGGACAGTGCTACAGTACTTACACTTATTGGACAAGTGGATTGGTAGGTGGATGCATGAATGCATGCATACATGCATGAAGAGAAAAGATAAAGAGAACAAAAATACTAGTGAAAGAGTCTGACTAAAGTAAGGAGACTTGGATCCTAGTTCTTAGTACCAACTAATCTCTTTCTTTGCACATCTCTAAAAGGAGGGGCAGTACTTGGATTGCACTAAGTTTTCTAGCCATTGAGATAACTTTGAAAGTCTTTTGAGATCTAAACTCTTTAATCACTTCACTCGACATGTTGACTTGGTGCAGATTAGACCTGGGAATCTGTGTTTTTATAAAAATGCTTCAGTTGCCCATTATGGTCTCAGGAATTCCCCCCTGCTACAACTTCCAATGTCCTGAGGACTAACCTAAACAAAATGCTTAGTGAACTAGTGGAGATAATCACCATACAATAGAGATTTATTTTTCTTCTTCCCTAATGAAAGTTACATTTTGGAGTCCTAGAAAAGTGAGATTTATTTTTCCCAGAGCGATAGCAGAGCGGGTAGGGCATTTGCCTTGCACACAGCCAACATGGCCGACCCGAGTTCGATTCCTCCGCCCCTCTCGGAGAGCCCGGCAAGCTACCGAGAGTATCTCGCCCACACGGCAGAGCCTGGCAAGCCACCCGTGATGTATTCGATATGCCAAACACAGTAACAAGAAAGTCTCCAATGGAGACTTTACTGGGCCCGGTCAAGTAAATCAATGAACAATGGGAGGACAGTGTTTGTTTGTTTGTTTGTTTGTTTTTCCCCATCATCTTTGGTTACTTGTATCTTGGTTTCTAATATATATATATGTGTGTGTGTATATATATATACACACATTATATATCAGCTGTATTTCTTTCTCAGTTGATGATCTGAAAGACTATTCTGAAACCCCCACCACTAATCAATATGTATATATATTTTTAAAAGAAACTCAAGGAGATTGCATTCCCAAGGACAGATGAATTGAAAAAGGACCTTTTAAAGAAATATAACATAGAATACCAAGAATATTTGCAAAGCAAAGTAAGTCCTATCATTACATTTATTTTCTAACTGTTGTCTGTGCAAATATTTTTTGAATTTCATTTTCATATGATGAGCCTTTCAAATGTCATATGCATTTAAATTAAAAATTAAAGATGTAGTTGTGTAGAACAAATAAAAAATTCATGTTGATGTCTAGGTTGAGCACTTGTACCAAAGATGTGGGTATTTTTATTTCCCTGTGACATCTAATAAAGTGATGCATTAGGAAGTAGATTTCCTACTGTGATTTAATAGGGCTTTTTAACCAACTCTCGCCTATATAACCTTGAAACAAATGGCTGGGTTTTTTTTTGCCAATGAAGAGGCAATAGGACAGTAGGTGGTAAAACAGTTTATGATCTTAAATGTACATATTTATGTAATCCATGGAAATGTGAATTATATTTTCAAATTACTATATCAAGTAAAATATAACTGTCAGCAAGGGTGGTGGTTTCTGTATTATTAGTAACTAAAGAGTGAAAATGTTATATAACGACGTGTAAGAGATAAAATATTGTCTATCATACTCAGGTTCAAAAATTGAGTTTCTTAATATTTGTGGCATTATTATAATGGTCATTTTGCTTTTTAGTCTGTGTGCTTATGTGCCTTAGAAGTTGTTATCTTTACTAACTTAACTCTATAGTTCAACCTCAGTTATTCTGTACAGGTTAGAAAATTTACTAATGTCTGTGGACAAAACAGGAAGTCATGCTTGAGGTGCTTAAATGGCAGAGGGAATGTTGAAGTCTGGAATTTTCCTTAAGTGTAGAGAATGATTGAATTATGCTGGGAAGATAGTACAGGAGTTAGGGTTCTGTTTCTGGTAACATGTGGCCTCCTGAGCATTGACCAGTGTGGCCTGGAGATCCCTCAAGTACTACCCATGTTGTCCCTGGCACTTTAAGGCCTAAGCAGCGTGGCATCCTTGAGCCTTAGCATTGAACTCCCAGCACAGTTGGCCAAGTGTTGCCTAAAATTGCCGCTGGACCCTCTGAGTACTACTTGGGAGGCACAAACAAAGAAGCAAGCTAAATAATCTTGGTGGTTCAGAAAAAGCAACAGAAAGCCCAGTCAATTTTCCTTTCCATGCAGTGTTTCCCTCAGGGCCACCTCAGCAACTGTTGTACCTTCTGTCTTTAACAGCACCAATTACTTAAAAATCTACAGTAAGAGCCCAAGTGTTTGTCATGTTGGTAGCTCTGGCTTGGGGTAGGGGATCACACAGGAACAGTCACTAGTGATGTTTAGAGGAGATGCACAGACAGACACAAGGTCAATCCTCAGGTCAGGCAGTGCTGACTTCCTGTGGTAGCTTCTAAGAAATGTCTCTCTAGCCCCACCTGCAGGCTCCCGCCCTTTCTTACCCCTATTTTATAGTTACTTAGAAAGTCTAGTTTTTATTAGAAATCATTTAGAGAGCTTACTAAAAATTTCTATGCAGATACCTACATATGTTTTGTAAGACTGTTAGGCTTGGGAATCTTTATTTATAACAACCACCATGTTCCCCTCTGATAGAAGTATAGGACCCCGTGTTGAGACTCATTTCTTAGGGATGCCCTCTTCCACCTTCTAAAGTCCAAGTAGTATGAGTTCTGGAGACAAATGCAAAAAGGTTCCACGCAACATTGTCCAATAGAATTTTTTTTCTTTTGGGGTCACACCCAGCAATGCTCAGGGGTTACTCCTGGATCTGTGCTCAGGAATTTCTTCTGGCAGTGCTTGGGGGACCATATAGGATGCCAGGAATTGAACCAGGTTCAGCCACGTGCAAGGCAAATGCTCAACCGCTGTACTATCACTCTGGCCCTGTCCAGTATAATTTTGTGTGATGACAAAGATATTCTAGTTGGCAGGTACTAAGTTGGCACGTACCATTAGACACATGAGTTAAATTGTAGCATTGACTGATCAATTGACTTTCTAATGTTATTTCATTCAAATTTGACTAAATAGCCACCTGCGGCTAGTGACTGCTGAGCAGTGTAAGGAAACATTTCTCTGTATGGCCACTTGGGTGGTCAGACTGAACAGACACCTATGACCTAGATTTTCTAATATTTGAAGGTGCAGTATCTTGGAGAGAACTTGTTTTGAGTGACCTGTTTCTGGTTAAATGTGAATGATTTAGAACTGCTGCTTTCATCCAATTAGGCCCTTTTGCCCTGGACTGTGGGGCCTGTTGCAGCATCCAGATATCTTTATCCCATAGAAGACCAAAATCATTTATTCCCGTTTGCTCTTTTGGGCCTTAGAAATTAACCATTGCTTCTGGCAACCACACATATATTTTTTAGAACAAATACAAAGCTGAAATTCTCAAGAAGCTGGAACATCAGCAGTTGATAGAGGCGGAAAGGAAGAGAATTGCACAAATGCGCCAACAGCAGTTGGAATCAGAACAGTTTCTGTTTTTTGAAGATCAACTCAAGAAGCAAGAGTTAGCTCGAGGTCAGAATCAGGAAACCTCTGCCTTGTCGGAGCCGGTTGACGGGAGTGCTTTGTCCTGCTTTTCTGCACGCCAGAACAACACCTTGCTGAATGTCCTTGCAGATCAGCCCAATAAAAGTGATGCAACCAATTTCGCCAGCAACTCTCCTCCAGTAAACAGGGCCTTAAAGCCAGCTGCAACTCTAAGTGCTGTTCAGAGTAAGTGATGGAATGCAGGCCTGCAAGGCTCTGATAGTCTTTTAATAAATCATATTTCTATAGCACCTGGAAGGGTTCCATTCCTTATCAATTTTGGTAGCACCCCTGACATGGATATCTTATCCTGACATGGTGGGGTAAGAGCAACACAACTAGTCTTTTACTGTCAGCTGCTCTTTTCTATCTGTAACCTTGAAATTCAGGAAATATGATTTAGCCCCTAACAGAACAGAGATGATATATAAACACAGGGACTCTATTTTGTTGTGGTATCAAGAAGAAGAACTTTTTTTTCTTTTCATTTATTTTAAACAAGAAACATAAAGTTTTAAAGGTAAACACATACTGGAGAAGAAGGAAGATGATGAGAAATTTGTTTGTCCAGAACTTTGTTCAACAATTTACGCTTGGATGTTTAAATTGCTCTAGACCTGAGAAATCTTAGTCACACAGGTAGTTGACTTCTAAATGGATTATGTGTTTGGGCCAGTAATTATGCTACTTGGCACCACTAGATCAGTGATTTCCAAAATCAAATGGGGAACTTTTACAAAGCAGACACTTTCAGATAGAAATCTGTGGTCTCAGTCATTTAAGGGTTATGATAGGAACCATTTTAGAAATTACCCTGCTGCTAATTAACTCTGAAAACATGGTGCTTTCATTTAATGATCATTAACTTCCTAAAAAATCTTCACCTTGGGGCCAGGGAGAAAATCATCAGGCTGAAACACATGTTCTGTGAGTAGCAGGTCCGGGTTCAATTCCTGCATGATCCCCTTATGCTACTGGGAGCAATTTCTAAACAGGGATTAAGCCCCTGAATACTATCAAGTATGACCCCAGAACCAAAATACAAGTCATTAATAGAATATTTGTCTTATATCTTCTAGGATCTGAGATGAATTTGATATAATCTATGCACTTAAAAATACATTTGCTTTGTGTCAGAGCACGCGCGCGTGCACACACACACACACACACACACACACACACACAGTTGATCCGGGGCCGAACATGTAAAAGTTCTTGCATATGAAAATAATCTACATGAAAAGAATAATTTTCCTTTCCTTCTAAGCAATGTTTAATTTTGTTTTAAGTTAAAATATGGGTAATGGAACCTCCAATACTTTCATTTTTGATATTTATATTAATCTGAATTTGTTTACCATACAAATATATTGAAAAATGGAATGTAAGATTTTCTTTTTGCTTTTTCTCCTTTTTCTGTCTTTTAGATTTAGTAGTTGAAGGACTGCGATGTGTAGTTTTATCAAGAGATCTTTGCCACAGATTTCTGCTGCTGGCAGAATCTAATACAGTGAGAGGAATAGAAACCTGTGGAATACTTTGTGGAAAACTGGTATGGATTTTGTTTCATGTATCTTTTGTACTGAGTACTATCAGTAGGAATGACTTTCTTGTGATATCAGAGCAAAAAAATAAGCATCCTAATAGTTATAAATATTATTAAAATAATTTTACATGGTTAATTTCATAGAGCTATTATTATTAATAACATTATTCTTTTGAAAGTAGATAATAAAATTTCAGGGATACTGTAAAATCTTGTAACTATTAAATATTTGTTTAGAAACATGGTGAACTACAGGACCTCAGTTTAAAAAATCTTGTTTTTAAAATCAATGTTCCATGACAATTGTTAATTTCACATGCATTCAGCTGATTAAATATGCATTTCCCTGTGGCAGGTGTCATTTTTTTTTCTAGATACATATAGAATAAAAACAGGATTTTGTTGATTTCTTTAATTTAAGGGAATAGTTTCAACAAAGAAAAATCTTATAGCCGAGGTTCATATTTCAATGCCAAACATTTTTTTATCAGAACTATGTGATAAAAGATGATGTCAAAATAGGAGACAAAGAGAAATAATGTTTATTTTCTTCTTATAACAAAAATGAATAATGTTTCTTTGAAAGTACTATTGGATATCATTTTATTTTTTATAGTAGCACTGTAGCACTGTCTTCCCATTTTTCATCCATTTGCTCGAGCGGGCCCAGTAACGTCTCCATCGTGAGACTTGTTGTTACTGTGTTTGGCATATCAAATATGTTATGGGTAGCTTGCCAGGCTTTGCCGTGAGGGCGAGATACTCTTGGTAGTTTGACAGGTTCTCTGAGAAATGCCCTACTGCTGTGCTATAGATCCAGTAGAGGTACATTTTTCAGTCCAAATGGTCTAGCGTGGTCAGTGATTAGTTGAATAGCATGTTTTATCATACACATTTTCCTGCTATGGTATCTCCATAAAGGTAACATTTCTTTTCCTTGTCTCTTTAATTGTATGTAAATCCCAAATGTATATTTCTAGGATTATAGCTTCACTTTTTTCTCCAGTAGACAAACACAGGAGAATGAACGGCATCTTCTCCCTATGACCATCTTAGCAGCCTGCCATTCATGGGGCAGAATGCTATGAATGCTTTTCTCTAAGACCTATGTTGTACCTTAATTGATTGGTCAATTGATATTTTTTTCTACCTTCTGGGTCACACCCAGCGATGCTCAGGGGTTACTACTGGCTCATGCTCTCAGGAGTTACCCTGGCGGTGCTTGGGGGGGGGGACCTTATGGGATGCTGGGAACCGAACAATGCAAGGCAAACACCCAACCAGCTATGCTATCACTTCAGGCCGGTCAACTGATTTTTTTTCTTCCTTCCTTCATCAGATAAACATGTACTCACACCAGGCACTGTGCTACGTGTTGACATTCAGTTGCCTACAATAGCCACTGTCCCTTGTCACATAACCCTTACAATGATGCTTATGAAGAACCAAATAGATGATTCATTGTAAATGGGACCAGGTGTTCTCAGTAGAGAAATAAGGCACCATGAAAATGTGTAATGGGAAACTAACCTCATCTGGGAGGGTATGGAATCTATTTCCCTAATAGGTACTTATTCTCATCTGGAAAATATATATAAAGTTAGCCAAGAAAGAAGATATGGTGGAAGAGAGTTGTAATCAAGGTATAAAAAAGCATCCAGTTTACAAGAAAGTCCCTATTAGAGAGATGATGGAGGGTTGGGAGGCTATTCACAGAACAAACTTTACTTTTCTGAGAATCCAGCCACCACTTCTCAGCAATTTTACTTCCAGTGCTTATCTTCTGCCATGGAGATACGATTAATTTTTTTGTCTCTTTAGCTAATTATAAATCCCAAATAGTCCCCTTGTCTCTTTAGCTAATTATAAATCCCAAATAGTCCCTAAATTATGAAAAATCCTAGGGCGTTCCTCAGTACTGACAGAAAGTCACTTGAAATGAAACAAAATATAATTAATAAAATAAAGACAAAATTGTCAACTTTGGGTCAGGGAGATGATTCAAAGGGCTAGACACGTTTTTCATGTCAGAGCTCTAGTTTCTATCCCTAGCAATGCATGGTTCCCTAAACATTGCCAGGAGAGGACCCCAGAGCCTTGAGCTGGGAATAAGTGAGCCAGGAGTAGCCCAAAGCACCACCAATGGAGCTGAAAAACAAAACTAAAAAGAAAAGCATTGTCAACCTCACAAACCTTAAGAGTGTCTTCAGTAACACCTCATAATTACTTACCTACCTAGTTTCTTCTCTTATAAATAAATGCATAAACCAGCCTGGAGTCATACATATATATATATATATATATATATATATACACACACACACAAACATACACAAGTATATTTCAAGTGTATACATGGATTTCAAGTTCCAAACAACTACTCTCAAAGTTTTGGCATATAATATATTTTCACATTTGGAGTTTTGTTTTGAACTGCGATGGGGGTAGAAGGAAAATAAACAAGAGATGGCCACTTCCTGCGTCTGCAGTAAATATTTTATTTCTGTACTTCTGGTTTTGTTTTCTTTTTTATTTCACATGCTTCTTTTTTTGCTACTTCTTTTTCAGACACATAATGAACTTACTATCACCCACGTAATCGTGCCAAAGCAGTCTGCAGGACCAGATTACTGTGACATGGAGAATGTAGAAGAATTATTTAATGTCCAGGATCAACATGATCTCCTCACTCTGGGCTGGATCCATGTATGTTCTACCTTTTACTTAATCTGTGTGTGTGTGTGTGTGTGTGTGTGTGTTGCTGTTTTCTTCTCTGAGAAGGTGTAGCTGAAAATATTTTCAAAGGTGATAAATGTCATCAAGCTAAAATATCTTTTTCAGTGTTAAAAATTGTGTCTAAATTTATCAAATCTAGATTTAAAGGGGATTTTATATGCTGTTTTTTACCATTCAAAGTGAAAAGAGAGAGAAACATTTGGAGATTAGGTGACTTATTTCAATGATTTTTTTTACAGTCTGAAGAAGTCTAGACAAGTTTTTAGCTAATTTGTTTAGATAAGTATTAATGTTTAGTTTTTCTTTTTCTCTGAACTAAGTATGACAGCTATGATTGTGTATATGTGTTTGCATGTGTGCGTGCGTGTGTGTGTGTATGTGTGTGCGCGTGTGCACCTTGTTTTGTTTTGGCTCATATCCACTAGTACTCAGGGACTACTTCTGTCACACGTCAGAGTTGCTCCTGGTGGTGCTCTACAGACCATGTGGCGCCCTGGGACAAACCGAGGCCTCCTGCAAAGTTTGTTCTGTAATCCTTTGAATTTTCTCTCCACCCCCTAAGAAGAATTATTTTAAGAAAATTTCTAAAATTGTTTCTTCTTATTCAGTTGGATTGAGAAATAATTGACATATATCACTGCATAACTTTAAGGTATAAAGTGTGAAGATTTGATTTACAGGGGTCAGAAACACATTGTTTGAACCTGGAGAGACTACAATGGGTAAGGTGCTTGCCTTGCACACGGCCAACTCAATTTCCAGCCCTGGCATATCATATGGTCCCCTGATCCCTGCCAGGATGAATTTCTGGGTGCAGAGCCAGGAGTAACCCCTGAGCATGGCTGAGTATGCCCCCCAAGCAAAAAACAAACAAAAAATATTTGATTTACATATATTGCGTAAACCTACATTATAGGTTTAGTTAACATACATTATCTCCTACAGATACAAAAAAGAGAAAAGAAAAAATATATATAAACAGTCTCTCTTTCTGATGAGAACTCAAGATTAACTTATTTTCTTATGTATCATGCAGCAGTATTAGCTTTAGTCATTGTGTTTTATATCACATTCCAAGTAATTACTTAATTTATAAATGGGAGGTTGTATCTTTGCCCCCCCTTTCTCTATTTGCCCTCCCTCTTCCCATCTTAAAAATATTTCTTTAAAACAGTGTTTTCCCAGGGTGAGGTAAACTACTCCTCACCCAAGGATCCAGCAGAGGGGTGGCTGGTGCATTTGGGAGTCAAGTTCTGTTTGTTTGCCAAAGGCAGATTTCCACACTGTTCTGAAAAGAGGGAGTCTGTCAAATAAGTTTGGGAACCTCAGTATCATACACATGTCTGTATCTATTACTGAGGAAACAGACACTCCACCACACTTGTACAGACCATGGAATGCAGAATAGGAGTAGAGTCAAAGAAATGAGGGACAAAATTATTGTATTCCAAATTTTACTAGATCATCGGAGGAGCAGGAAGGGGATGATAATCAAGGGAACCTAAATTTCAGCTTTGTTAAGCATTCCATATAGGAATATCATAAGTGTTTTTAGTCTAAACTTTTTCATCCATAATATAGAGCTCATGGTAATTGATTTCAAGTGATGGTGAATATGAAATGAGATAATGTCTGTACATTTTTTTTACATTGTTCTAGGAATTCAGAAAATGGTAACTATTATATCGATGATAGTACTATATTTCCTTGTGCATGTTTCAGTCTATCTGGTAAGCTATTTTTTCCATTTAGTCTTAGACATCTGGGCCTAGGGAAGGAACAAGTTGTTCCTGTTATGGACTATTGGTCAGAATTTCCAGGCACATCTTAGAGACCTCCACAATATCCTAGAAAGTGATATATAATCATTTTTAAAAAATTATCTGCAGTATAGAGAAGCACTGAGTAGAATGTGTGCACATGCACACACACACACACACACACCAACTTGCTGAAATTATAGACATTATTTGATTTAAATTAATTTTTCTGTAACAAGATTGAATTTGAAGGTCAAATAAATCTTAGGAAAGATTTTGAAAAATAAGCCAAGAAAAATTACACTTAGGTTGAAAATCCCATTAACTTATCTTACAAAATATTTCAAAATTAGAAACAAATGTTTATCCTTTATGACTTATGCATGTAATGTAAACAATAATGAATTTGAGTCATTTAAATAATGAATTTGGCCTAACTAGAACTTTAGGAATTTGCTTTATTTATTATTATTATTTATTTATTTTTTCTTATGTAGGAGTACTGCTATTTATTCAGCCACTGATTAAGCAGATTGAATTGGACATGAACTCCACCTTATTTTTTTTTCATTTTTATAATTTTATTTATTGAATTACCATGAGAGCAGTTACAAAACTTTCGGGTTTAAGTCTCAGTCATACAATGAAACAACCGTTCTTTCACAAGTGCCCATTCTCCACCCCCAAAAACCCCAGTATACCCCCATCTCACACCCTCCCCCTTCCTGAGGGGCAGATGATTTCCACATTACTCTTTCTCTACTTGATTACATTCAGTATTTTGACACCAGACCCACCATTATTATTTGGAATTTTACCCCAACACTCAGATCTGCTGAAAAGCAACAGTAGACAATTTGTTTTCTATTGCTGGTTATGAATACCATATGATATCGCGTGGCTGCAGTAGTGGCCGTGCGATTTTGAAATTCCAAAATTTTAACAATTAAATCTGGAGGGATTTATGCCCAAACCTGCTGGGTTCTGAGATTTGTTCCTGAGTCTCTGGGATCATGGCCATTAAGCAGCTTTATCAGGAGCCAGAGAGGCCATTCGTGGGTGGTGACTCAGGATCTTGTTGGGAAGGGGAGGAAAGGGCCGGCTCCACCCATGTCCCATGAGGCCCCATATGTCTTGTCACTGAGGGCCCAAACCTGACTGTCCAATGGCCTCTGGAAGATGGTGGCCACCGAGCCACCTAGGGGGAGCAGGTGGAGGGACAGCACCCTTTCCCCCTTGGGGTGGCCCGGCGACAGTAACCTACTGCAGGGTCTGGACGCATTTCTGCCAAAAGCTACTGGGTTCCGAGATTTGTTTCTGAGACTCTGGGATCATGGCCGTTAAGCAGCTTGATCAGGAGCCAGAGAGGCCAATCGTGGGCAGCGACTCAACGTCTCGCTGGGACAGGGAGGAAAGGGCTGGCTCCACCCCCATCCCATGAGGCCTCGTGTGTCTCGTCACTGCAGGCCCAAACCTGACTGTCCAGTGGCCTCTGGAGGATAGCGGCCACTGAGCCACCAGGGGAAACAGGCACGAAACCTATTCCTACAGCGGTGGCCCAGTGCCAGTAGTCTACTGCAGGCACCAAACACATTTCTGCCAAAAGCCGTTGGGTTTTGAGATTTGTTTCTGAGTCTCTGGGATCATGGCCAGTAAGCGGCTTGATCAGGAGCCAGAGAGGCTGTTCGTTGGCAGCGACTCAGGGTCTCATTAGGGCGGGGAGAAAAGGGCCGGCTCCACCCCCATCCCGTGAGGCTCCGCATGTCTTGTCACTGTGAGCCCAAACCTGACTGTCCAATGGCTTCTGAAAGATATATAATACCTTCCACTAGGGGGAGCAGGTGGAGAGACAGCACCCTTTCCCCCCTGGGGTGGCCCGGCAACAGTAACCTACTGCGGGGTCTGGACGCATTTCTGTCAAAAGCCTCTGGGTTTTGAGATTTGTTTCTGAGTCTCTGGGATCATGGCCATTAAGCAGTTCGATTACAAACCAGAAAGGCCATGCCTGCAATAATATAGCTGAGCCGGAAGTGGTTTGTAAGTGTGTATCCCACATACCTAACTTCTGGTCATTTATTTTCTTGGTAAACTTTGCCCCAAGTTTTTGGGTTCTGGCCAAGGGCACAGCAGCAATTTTGGGGTATCTGGAAGTCTGAAGGCACCATCAGGCTGCTGATGCACTTGCCTCACAGGTACAGATTGACCTGCTGGTGGCAACATACCCCCTAGGAATTTGCTTTTTAAAGTGTAGTTCACCATATCAAATTGTTGTGGTTCAGTAAAAAGAAAAATATTTCTTAACCTCAGTGATTTTATTACCTTGAGGATTTATATTAAGCTAATAAAAAATTCTATAGTTAGCTTTTTTCAGATACAAATTAGTCATTGGAAATAATTTGAATCAGAACCAGACATGGTTAGATGTAGATTTGTCCTGACTAGTTCGATGACTAGTTCTATTATATTATCTTCTGCTCAGCTCAGTTTCTTCATCTTTAAAATGAAAACAATAACAGGACTTAGCTCATCTTCTTGTAAGAATATAATGAATGGAGCTGAAGAGATATTTCAAAGACTGGAGCACATATGTTGCATTTTGGAGCTCCAGGTTCCATCATATGCCCCATGTGTCTACTGAGCAACTTCTGAGTACAAGGACAGTGAATAACCCCAGAACATCAAAATGTGATCCCCAAAGAAAGAATATGTGGAAATTGATTGGTTCAGTTGTATTAAATCTTATCTCCAACTGTCATCATTATCACCACTACCATCATCATCAACATCATTACTTCCACAGAGTGGGGATGGATACCTATTCATGGTGTGTAATGATTCCTCCTGGCAGAAATAAAGGGCTCGCCAATACCTTTTGGTATACATTTTATTCTTGAAGTACATTGATAGGCTGAGTGAGCTCTTTGCTAATCTGCTTGCTGCCTCCTCGGTCTCGTCTTATTTTGAACATTTTTTCTTTTCTCATAATAGCATAAAAGACTCTTATTGTGCTAATGGATGGGTTTCTGGGGACCAGTCCTGAGTGAAGCAGGGATGTTCAGGAATTAAGTAAAGAGACATAAATAAGAGAGAAAAAACTTGGGATAAAGGGACTAACAGCTTCATGGACTGAGAACCCCTACTGTCCTCCATGAATAGTATTTATTGCTTAGAACCAATACTCATTAAAAGGAAAAGAACAACATTCTTTGGTCAAGCTCCTAACAATCATTATCTATCTAGGTTAGACTATTACATATCTGAAGATGTTAGTTTATTGGGATAAACATAAATATAAAGGACTTTCTTATGGGGAAATTCTTCCAGAAGTGGAAACAGAGATAAAGCAGACAGGACCGTGACAGTGTAGGCATTCCAGGACAGCATTCCATATTTGGACCCCACCATTCTGGATTCTGGTTCCCAACAAAAGGTTTCATTAAATCAGATAACTGACAGTCATACTTTCCTCCTCACGCCTTCATCTAAGATTCATATTTTAAAAACTAAAATAGTTTTTATTCCTCAGTTGATCTAGGTCATTGCAGATCAAGAGTTATTCTTTCCTTGAAGAACATGTATCTCTCTGTGAATAGATATCAATGACTTTCCCTTTATTCTGGTAAAGTAGAAAGAAGTTTTTTAATCTTTTATTTCTCCAAAAGATAATAATTTTATATAAATGTCTGAAGTTATTTCATGGGTCAAAACCCTTCAGTTAATACAATGTTAAAATGACAACAGCAATAAACACAGTAATAATATATACAATAACAGCTAATGATCCTTCCACCTTTCTATATGATTGGTACTTTATAAGAATTTTTATTTGGTACTGTGTAAGAATTCTTATAAAAATACTTACAATGTGCTTGATACTTATAAGAATTCTTATAAGTGGTTCAGTCATATAATGCTCATATGAGAAATGTATGCCTGATCCCCTATGTAAACAACTTTGTAAATCATTGTGTCTAAATAAAAAATTAAATTTTTAAAAAAAATGTGTCAAGGATGAAGGCTAAGGGATGGGAGGGAACCTGGAGACTTTGCTGGAAGAAAACTGACACTGGGGCAAGATTGGGATTTGATTTTGAATTTAATTTTGAATTCGATTTTGATTTGATTCAAATTCAAAGAGACCAACAGAGTGGGCCATAATCAAATGCTCCTTGTATAAGAAGAGATTAGCACATGGCTCAGTGCAGAGAATGAAGATCATGGAGTGACACAGGGAGACAAGGGAAGAGCCACCTCAAGAAAACAAAACTGCCAACACTAATTTCTTTACCTTCAATCATCTAGAACTGAGGGGAAAATTAGTTTGGTTTCTAGTCTCCAGGATTTTGTTGTGGAAGCCATAACAAATTAATCCTCCATATGTCTGAAACTCAACTATGAATGACTTTGAATATCACAGGGCCTTAAAAATGTTTTTAATTAAAAAAAGAAATTCTTATAAGTATTTTTATAACAATTCTCATTTAATTTTTATGACCATACCATGAATAAAATGGTTATTATCCCTATTTTAGAGTTGATGAAATAGACATGAAAAAGTTAAGCAACCTTCTAGGTATCAGGCAATGAGTGATGAAGTCAGTTTTCAGAGTACAAGCCAAGGACCTTGATTTTCTTAATTAAATGGTAACATTCCTTTATCAAAGGTCACTGGGTTATACTGTGAATATTAAAATCATGACAGATGCACATATTTTTCAAATTCAAATAGCAATTCTTCCTTGTCTTTCAAAAGCACAAATTTGTATGTAGCCAAAGACTAAAAGAGTTTTTCTGTTTTCAAATATGTGATTAATCTCCCTTTGCTTCTCACCCTGTGGGTATTAATTAACTTGCTGTGTGAAATGATTCCCAGCCACTTTGATCAACTTGGAGCATTTGGTAGGGCATAGGGTTCCACAACAGCAAGCAATGTGTGGTGAGTCTAGGAGAAATGTTGTGTCCACAGTTTTGCATTTAAGTGCCTCTGAGTTTCCAGTCAGTTATCCTCCTTTTCAACTCTGTGACCATGGGCAAGTAAAAAACTCCCCAAACATCAGAATCCTTGTACATAAAATCAAGATAAGATAGTTAGAATCTTGATTTGTGATGATTGAATGAGACTCTGAAACTTCTAACAAATAAAATTTTAGTTATGTCTTTTCTCGTGAGCCAATCCCAGGAATCTCCTCTCAAAGCTATAATAACCCCAAACGGGCAGGAAGAGAAAGATGGTGATGACAGAGTTCAAAACCCATATTGGCTTAATGACGGTGAAAAGGCAGATTAAATAACTAGATTTTCTTTTAGAATAACTGTGACCCTGACTGAGACTGATGGACCTTAATAGAGTGTCCACTCTTCTTTGTACAGACACACCCAACCCAAACTGCATTCCTGTCCAGCGTTGATCTTCATACTCATTGCTCCTATCAGCTCATGTTGCCAGAGGCGATTGCCATTGTTTGTTCACCAAAGCATAAAGAGTAAGTGTAATTGTGAAGAATAGTCACTGTTGAGTGGCCCCAAGTAAGGCTTTGTTAGAGGCTGGCTGTTTTCAGGTGTTTTCAGCATACACACTCTTGAGCAAAAAGAGATTAGTGTCAGCAACTTCATCACCTATAATCCTTCAATCTTGGTTGGTTTTTGGTTTTGTTTTTGTTTTGTTTCGTTTTTGGTTGGGAAGAGCAGGCTTTTGACCAAACCCAGAGTTGCTCAGGAGTGACCTGGCTCTGCTCTCAGGGGCAGACTCCTGGTGGTGCTTAGGAGACCATATGTGGTGGTGCTAGGAATCTACTGAAGGCTGCTGCATCCAAGGCAAACATCTCAACACCTTTCTCTCCAGTATTTTGCTTTCTACCAAGTTCTGTGGTAGAAATGCTGCTTTACTTTCTTAGTGTGACCCCAAGGAGCTAAAGAGATAGTACAGGGCCGGAGTCACTTACCTTGCATACAACTACTCCACTTTGATTCCCAGCACCGCATATGGTCCCTCAAACATCACAGAAGTGATCCTTTGAAGCACAGACCCAGAGTAGCCTTGAACAAGGCTGGTGTGGCCCTCAAACAGAATAAAACAAACAACAAAAATCATGCCCTCTAGATGGATAAACTGGATGTTATTCCCATTTGCCTTTCAAATCTTGGATGTATTGCAGAAAATTTTTCCAGACTTTGCTTCATTAATTCCAAGTTTATCAGTTTGGGAGACAGTTCTGTGCAGTGATTATGAGCAGAGGCATTAGATAAACATATCATGCTCCAACTTCTGGTGTTATGTCTGGCAAGACACTTGACGACTGTGAGCATCTTTTCATCCAGCATTCTTACCCCGTCATGTTCTGAGGTGAGGGTGAAGCTAGCCAGTAGTCTATGTAAAGGGATTCACCTAATACCTGAGACCACAGCTATCATTATAAACAGCATTGACATTATTTGAAAAAATTAGAGGAACGCACCCAAAACTTCTTCCACCAGCATCTTGGCTTTCCCTCCAGGGTCACCCAATAGCGCCACTGCCACTTCCCCTTACCGTATGCAGGTACTTGGAAATAGCTTTGACTCCTCCTAGACATCTCTCCTCTAAACTGACCATGAAAAGATTAGTTTAAAATATTACCATGGAATTCCCAGTCTATGATTTCTTTCTCCATTCCATTTAAGGGACATGTATGCTTGTGCCATTCAAATAAAGCATCTGAAAAGTTCATACTTAATGTTTGTAACTTTTTATTGTCCTGAAATATAGCACTGGCATCTTCAGGCTCACCAATGCAGGCATGCTTGAGGTTTCAGCTTGTAAAAAGAAGGGCTTTCACCCACATACCAAGGACCCTAGGCTGTTCAGTGTGAGTAGATATGTTGTATATTTTTTGGTGGATTTTTAAAACTTTTTTCCATTTTTTTAGGAGAGAGTATAATGTACTATAAAATACTTGAGTACTTCATTTACAATTTTCTTATCTCAGGCAATTCATTAACTTTTGTACTTCTGACTTCTTCTCACTGTTATTTTACTTGCAAGGGAATCTCAGTAGCCAAGGTGATTATGAATCACGTTAACCTCTCTCTATATCTGTGTCTGATACTTAATTTTATTCAGAGTCCAAGTAAGCAAACTACTTTTAAAGAGAAAATGATGTTGAATGTTACATGAATTATTTCTGCTCGATAGGACTAAAAATGACTATTTTATAACAGTTTAATTAAAACCTTAATCGTATGTTTTGTTTAGCTTTGTCTAAACTATAAAAGCAATATTACCTGACTTTCTGCCTGTACTAACAGTTTGGTTAGTGGTTTCTCTGGCTGTAAAATGAGAGAAATTTTATTTAGAAATTAGAATTTACTTTAAATTAAAATTACTTGGAAAACTATAAATATATGTACTCTTGAAAATGACTGTGTTGAAAATGACATGATTAAAATATTTCTGGTTGTAAAAATTTAAAAATTAGAAACACTATTGTAAAGACAACTAGGACTTGCATAACTCCCTCCCTAAAATTATTTTTTTCTTTTACTAGATATGCAAACATGTGTTGATAAAAGACATAAAAATTATTGTGCTGGATTTGAGGTGATGCGTTATGAAGATTATTGTGGTCGACTCTGGACACCTACCCATGGAAATGTGGCTGCTGGGTTTTCTTAAGATGTTTCCAGAAATGACTGAGATTTTATATTTATACATTTTAGATCAGAAAGTTTGATATTTATTGCTCCTGTACATTTTGGAGTTTTCTTTTTGAATTGTTCTGTCTCAAGAGAGGTCATAATGGTGTTGAATCAAAAACCTATTAATGTACCCAAATACTATGACCAGATAATAAATTGTGCTACAGAAAATGTGTTTGTTGTTTATAGAAGTGTCTGAACTCATTTTTAGAGCTTTAGATTTTTCACTTAATATTTTTTCTATTTCGATGCAATATCATCCTAAGCAGAATTCAGGGTGGTCTAATAAAGAGAGAGGGAAGAAAGAAAGAAGGGAGAAAGGGAGCTAGGGAGGGAGGGAGGGAAAAAGAAAGAAGGAAAAAGGAAGGAAGGAGAAAGAGAAAGAAAGAAGGTAGGCAAGGAAGGAAGGTAAGAAGGAAGGGAGGGAAGAATTCTGCAGTCTTTTCTTGGGGATAGAAGTGAGCAGCTTACACAGAAGAGAAGAAATATGGCAGAGTGGCAGAGACAGCATAGTGCATCCAGTGTTGACAAGTTGTCAAATCCTTGATCAGAGATACAGGATCTTAGTGTCATAGCAGGGAGCACCTCAAGATCTGGTGGCTGAGGCCCTGGGGTCAGAGCTTCTTGGAGTTCCAGAGAGAATAGGAAGAGCAACTTAGCAAATTAAAAGACAGTCCATTTTTCATGAAAAACTTCTATTGTATTACCCAAAGAAGTGGAAGAGTCTTGGCATTTTCATTTCCTTGCAAAAAGAAGCAAAGGGGAAATTTGAGAAACTGTTCTGGAAAGGGAGGATGTTTGCTTATTGCCAAGTTACAAATCATTTTAACTAGACTTCTCAGGAGAACCTGGTCAGAGAGCAGAAGAACTTTCAGAAGCAGTGACATGTCTGTCCTTCCTGGCAGACTCTGAGTCTAAAAGAACCATCCAGAGTATATAACCTCCATACTCTGGAGGAATGTGGAGCTCATGTGCCCGCACGTGTCCCTGCGTGGGTGATGTGTGACCACCGTGTCCTTCAGAGAACTTCCTTTGGAAATAGGCCCCTCCAAAATTCATATGTTGGGGTTCTAGTCCCCCAGAATCTCAGAATTTGACTGTATTGTTGTCGATTCTATACCCAGTGATGATCAGGGGCCACTAGGGCCATACCGAGGGATGTATGTGAGGCAGGGAGGTGCGGGGGAGAAACCCCAGGGCTTTACACCAGGCAGGCAGGTGATCTATCCTTTGAGTGGTCTCTCTGGCCATTAGCATGAGACTGTATTTGTAGATACTCCCTTTAAAGAGGAAATCAAGTTAAAAAGAGACCAGCACAGTGGGCCATAATCAAATGTGCCTTGTATAAGTAGAAATTACTGTTACTGTTTTTTGTATATTGAATATGCCACGGGTAGCTTGCCAGACAAGTAAGGAGAGGCTGCTAAAATTTCAGGGTTGGGATGAATGAAGATGTTACTGGCGCCCACTCGAGTAAACCCACGAACAACAGGATGACCGTGATACAGTGATACATTCATACAGCAATAAGAAGGGATTAGCAAGCACGTGGGTCAGTGAAGAGAATGAAGGTCATGTGGAGATACAGGGAGACAAGTAATAGTTAAGGAGAGACACATCAAGAAACTAAACCAGCCAACACTGATTTCTCTACCTTCAATCCTCCAGAACTGAGGGGAAAATAAATTTGGTTGCCTAGTCTCCAGGATTTCGTTGTGGCAGCCATAAAAAAATTACACAATGCTCAGTAAGAATCCACTTAATATTTTGTTTTTGTTTTCTATTTTCTCAGAGATTGAATGGAAACCTCTTAGTTCTCATGTAGAAATCCTTATCTTCTCCAGAGATCTTACATTTTTAGTAGAATTTTTCTCATGGAAAAATTGACTCTCTGTGTGTGAGTGTGTGTATGTGTCTGTGCTATCATGTTGATTAAGGTCACTGTTAGAATTGGTTCAGTATTTTCCTTCCAAATTCATTCCATGTGTCAACTAAATTAGTCGTGAGTTATTAAAAGAGTTTGTCCATAGACTGAGTTTTCTGTTTCGAAACCAGCTGCCAGGGGAATCAAATGTGGAAGCAGGAGTTTCTCTCCTTGAATGTCTTACGGAATTGTCTAACAAGAGAATGTCTTCCATGAGGAGGATACGTGAGAACTGTGGTGTGTTTGGCAATGATTAAGAGGAAAGGTAAACTCAGTAACAAGAATTTCCTTATTACCTATTGTGAAGACAACAAATAGGAAAAGAATCACCTTCTCTGTTGCTTTAAGGAACTTGTTTCCTTTCCCAGTATCTTGACCTTTCATGAAGCAAGAATATATTTCCCCTGGGCATAGATGACAAAAATATTTGATGGCTCTTAGAGATTCATCATACTGGCATCGAAGGCTGTTTTTGTTTGGGGGCCACACCCGGCAGTACTCGGGCTTACTCCTAGCTCTGTGCTTAGGGATCACACTTGACAGTGCTCTGGGACATGAAACCCAGGTCAGCCTCCAGGGCTAGCATCTTCCCCACTGTACTATCTCTCCAACCCCGTAATTATTTTATTTTTTTAAATCACTATCAGGAGAACCAAAGTTGACCGCGAAAGTTTAAACTTGTTTATTAAAACCATTCTCTGGGAGAAGCCTATTTTGGATGTTTTTGGGTGCCTGTCCTCCCAATGCATAACGTAAATTTATATTATTGGAAACCAGAGTTATTTGGGGTGAGGGTATTGCAAAACTGTCCTGAAAATATGGGTGATCATGAAAGAGTATTTGAGTCTGATTTGCAGTTGTGAGGAAGTGGAAGAAAGTTCAGGAAGAACCAGAACTCTACATTGCTGGTTTTGCCTCTGCCAATTTATGGATGGTTTGTCAACAAGACTCAAGTCCTTCACTGGACCTTTCCTGCTGAGGAATTAAGAGGAAGTGATTCAGCTAAATCTGGGAGAAGCTGCTTAGGCACTACAGCTGTTGCTCATAAAAAAGGAACAGGAGAAGGAGAAGGAGAAGAAGTCAGTCTGAGTTATAACAATGCAAAACACATTTCGCTTTTAAATGAATCTATTGGTGAAAATGGGAATGGTTGATGATGTTTGTTTGCTTGTTTGTTTTGGCCACACCCAGTGGTGCTCAGAGGCTGCACCTGGCTTGCTACTAGAAGATCTCAGCTGGCGTCCTCGGGTGCCATGACTGCTGGAGATTGAGCCCAGGCCTCCCTTATGGAAAGTCTGTGCTCCAGTTCTTTGAATTCTCTCCCTGGCTCCTGATTGGTGATTTTTGCCTAAATTATGAAAGCAATCTGGTTGAAGGGCAGGTTTCCCTTAAACTACCTCTTAGAAATCAATGAAAGTTGGCAGTCTAGGATGGAAAGAGGAGGGAGAAAAGCAAGTAAAGGGGTCAATGGGGACAAGAAAAGGATCTTTGGTAGTGGATGGCACTGGAATTTTGGTAGTGGGAGTGGTTACAATTATACACATGCATAAGTATGATGCAAAATCCCTGAAATCCATAATATTGTAAATCAATGGGAAAAAAATATCAACAGAAGATTTTGGTCTTTCTGTTCTTTAAGAAATGCTGGTCGAATGGGAGACTAAAACCCAAGGGTAGTAGAGATAAGGACCAGGAGGATTGCTCCACAGTTTGGAAGTCGGCCTCACATACTGGGGAAAAGACAGCTCAGAGAGAGAAGGGACCACCAAGTAAAGGATGCTTGGAGAGCCCGCTCAGGATGGGAGATTCGTGCTGCAAGTAGACTATGGACCGAACATGATGGCCACTTAATGCCTGTATTGCAAACCACAACAACCACAACACCCTAAAGAATAAAGAGAGCAAAAGGGAATGCACCTGCCACAGAGGTAGGGGAGGAGAAAGGGTGTGGGGGTGGTGGGAGGGATACCGGGATCATTGGTGGTGGAGAATGGGCACTTTTTTTTTTTTTTTGCTTTTTGGGTCACACCTGGCGATGCTCAGGGGTTACTCCTGCCTTTGCACTTATGAATCACTCCTGGCAGTTCTCAGGGGGATCATATGGGATACTGGAATCCAACCCGGGTCGGCAGCGTGCAAGGCAAACGCCCTACCCGCTGTGCTGTTCTTCCAGCTCCACTTGTTGCATTTTCACCCATCAGGCAATACCACTAGGATTGTAAGAGAGCAAAGTAATGTAATTACCCAACAAGCTGTGCACAAGCTGTGCGGTCAGTGAGGATCATATCATTTACATGCTTCAGTTCGTGTTTATATTTATCTCCCGGTTATTTTCAAGGGCTTTGCAGATAGAACGTTTAGGTGGAATTTCCCGTGTTCTGTGATTTGACCTCTGGGAAACGCGCACATAGTCATGGCGTGTCCTGGGAGATACCACTAGAGGGAGCTAAGATGAAAGGAGCGTGGTCAACGTGCTGAGCAGACAGACACCAACGCTAAAGGCTACCGGTAACATAGTTCAGATTTATTTAAAAAAAAAAAAAAAGACCCTCGAGGAGGGGGAAAAAGACATATAGGCCAAGAGTCAGAGCTTCAGCTAGGAATGACTGGAGAAGGAGTAAAAGTATAGTTCCACAAAACATTCACAGTTGTGTGCTGGGCAGAGAGCAGGGGCGTGTTTAGAAGCATTTGCGGTGCACAATGGACGGCCCCGCTTCGTCGTACTCCTGTTTGCTGATCCACATCTGCTGGAAGGTAGACAAAGAGGCCAGGATGGAGCCGCCGATCCACACAGAGTATTTGCGCTCCGGCGGGGCAATGATCTGTCCATCAGGATGAGAGGGGGGTATGAAATAAAAATAAAAAGCCGTTAGTGTGAGGGATGGCAAGGGGGCATCGATGAAGGGGCTTTCATTGATGCCAAAGGAGAGAGAATATTCTGGATTTAGAGATATTCAATGAGAGCTTTTGTCTTCCTAGGTTTCTTCTCACAATCAATTCCAAAGCACCAGAAACACTTCTTACGGCATTTGCTCTATTTGGGCAAAATGAAAATTGGCTTCCAGATTTTGCTTGATCACCTCTCTAGAGTCCTATTCAAGTCTCTGATTTCCTTAAACTATGCTTCAGAACTTGGCATTGCATATTTTATCTAAAAACAAACTCCCATCTTCAAAGGAGTTTTGATTGTGCCAGAAGTTACTATACAACATTGTACCAAGTCCACTGGTCACATAGTGGTTAGTTT